GGCCACAGGCCTGCCCCCGGCCCCCCTCGGCGACTGGGCCTGCCCCCGGGCCCGGTGGAATCCCCCCTGCTCGGGCCCGCCTTCCCCTCCCCCTCTGCCCACCATCCTCACACCTCCCCCGGTCATTTCCCTCAGGACCACATCGGGAGACACGGTGGAGCTGGTGGAGGCATCTCTGGACGTCAAACTGCTGAACAATGCCGTACGCCTCCGCATCCAGGGCTGTCCTTTTCTACCGGGCGGCGTGCACCTCTGCGAAGTGCAGAGCCATTTGGTCGTCCTGCTGATCACCGGGCAGACGGTGCATCGCCTGCTCCTGCCGCATCCCGCCCGCATGTACCGCAGCGTGAGTACCTGCTCCTTGCCTGTGTCGGCCACCTGCCTCCGTCCTGCGCATCAGGAGCCCTCAGCGAAGCCGCTAAGTGCATCGCAAAATAGCAAAGGCCTTGGCGTGCTTCTCAGCGTGGGCACAAAGTGCTGCTTTCCACCTGCACTGGTTTTGGCCAGGACAGGGTTGGTTTTGGCCAGCACAGAGTCAATTTTCATATAGTAGCTTGTGTGGTGCCGTCTTTTGGATTTGTGACCAAAACAGTTTTGATAACATGGTAATAATTCAGCTTTTGCTGATTGGTGTTTGCACAACCTCAACGTCTTCTCTCTTTCACGCTCTGCCCCCCGCTGTGAATAGATCTGGGGGCGTGCAGCGATTTGGGAGGGGTCACAACTGGGCAGATGACCTGATCTAACCGAAGGGTTGTTCCTTGCTGTATAACATCATCCTTGGCAATAAGAGAGGAAAGAGGGGTGTGGGAGGGTTAGCCATCTTTTGTTTGAGAACTGGCTGAGGGTCAGTCTGTCCAGCCTGCATGTCCCTTGTTTTGTTTTTGTCTCTCTTCTTCTGCTTGTCCTTCATTTATTAAGCAATTATTTTATTTTTTTTATCTTGACCCCCGAGTTTTCTTGCTTTTATGCTTCTTTTCCTCTTCCCCTGTCCCACTTGGGAGGGAGTGGTGGAACAGCCATGTACTGGTTCGCTGCCCACCAGAATTAACTCACAGCACTGCCCTGTTGTGGGGCTTCACCCAAACCCTGTCCCTACTGTCATGCCCATGTTGCGTGAGCTGGCTGTAGAAACACCGGAGGGCAGCTGCTGATGGGTATGAAACTGAGCCCTTTCCAGTTGGGCTGGAGTTTTTTTCAGTGCTGAGCAAACCGTATACTGGTTTTGGCTGGGATGGGGCTGGTTTTCTTCGCAGTAGCTCGCATGGTGCTGTGTGGCAGATTTGGGACCAAAGCAGAGTTGGGAACACGCCGCTGTTTGAGCTGTCACTGAGCAGTGCCTGTGCAGCGTTGGGGGCTTCTCCGTTTCTCTCTCTGCCCCCAAAATGAGCTGGCTGTGGTGGGCAGGAGGCTATGGGGGACACACAGCCAGGACAGGGAGGTGACAGTCCCTGTGCTGTGACACCGTGTTCAGCAACACAGAGGGGAGGGGATTGGGACAGGTCACCATTGCTCGGCGTTTGGCTGGGCATCAGGCTGCTTGGAGGAGGTGGTGAGGGATTGCCTTGGCATCGCTTGGTTTGGTTTTATTTTCTTCTTCCTCTTTTCCTTTGCTTATTAAACCACCTTTATCTCGACCCACAAGTTTTTGCTGCTCTTATTCTCCTGTGTCCTGCAGCTGGTGATAGTTACCTGCTGGCTGGGTCAGTCCACCATGACTGATCCGTTCCAGAGCTCTCTGGTGGGGATTTGTATCCTGGGCTGGCAATCTCCCTTTTTTCCAGAGGTGTGAAGCTGGAGCCTGTCAGGCTCTCCGGAGATTTGTGGAAAACTCTGCAATTGACTTTCTTACTCCCCAAACTCTTCTAGTTACATTTCTTTATAGAGGTTATAAACTGCTAAACTCCAAGTCCTCTGATTCTTGGCTGGGTACAGCAGGTGCGCTCATCAGTGTGAGTTAGTTCTCTATGTGGAAGTGAAAACTACTGGAAAAAGCAGTCGGATAGGGAAAGCAAGCTGGAAATCTCTTGCTTTGGTACTGACTGTACTCAGACCGCACGTGGGGGAGGCAGAGTCTGTAGGCATCAGACTTGCAGTGTTTGCCCCAAAGCTGAGGGTGTTTCAGATTTGCAAATAGGGCTCTGATTTTGATGCAATTCAGTGACGTAACCCGAAATGGGGCTCGGAGGTCGGCGGTGGCTCTGCTGGCCGTCGTGGGGCCCGGCCTTGTGACGATGGGGACAAAGTACCCTTTGGAGGTCGGGTCTGGGTGCTTCAGAGGGAGGCCTGGCTGTGTTTGTAACTTGCCCTCTGTACGCAGCAGGGAAGATGGATCTTCTGCAAAATTTACATTGCATTTACCTATTTGCTGTGACTTTTTCCTCTTGTGTCTGCTTCTGGTGTGCCTTGTCAGATCCCTTTTCTCTCTTGGAGAGCTTATCTCTTGCTTTTAAAGTTCCAGACAGCTTTTCCAAGGGATGATGCTGTGCTATTGCGGAGCTGCTCTTTGCAGGACTTGTTACCAGCATTTTACTATGACCTGTTTTGAAGCAACTGATGCACTGTGGGACCCCTTTGGGGGTGTTATGGTATACGAGGGAGAGAACAAGCAAGCATTCTGCTAGAAAGTTGCAGGTTTTTAAATCCTTTTCATATCTGCTCGTAAAGAGCAGTGGTTGTGGGTTAACAGTAAGAGAAACAGGAGTGGTAGTGATGAGAGTTCTTACTGGAAAAATCCCTTTTATCAAGTATCAGTGTCGCAGTTGCCATTCCACAGGTGTCTGGTTGGTTTTTTCTGTGTCTCGTGT